AGCCCCATCTTCTGTAGAGTGAAGTAGCGTGTTTAGAAAAATTAGAAAGTTGTTATCGGCTAATTTTGGTTTAAAAAAGATCATTTATGTCTTATATGGTATGCACTATAATTCGAATGAATGCTACACGTAGCACACCTTTCAAAGTTACTGCTAAAGTCAGACATATTGAAACAAGCAGGAAATCTTATACCTGACCTAAATAAAAACTCCGAAGTTTTGACAAGTGATTCCCAAACAGAAATTTTGCACACTTTCAATGTTGTTTTTTTTCTCAATACATTTTTTTTTAACGAGGAAGGGTTAGGGTTAGTTAGGGTAAAAAGGGTTTTAGAACCAATGCTTTTATAATCTTGACCTAGAGAACATTGGGGGGAAACTTTGACTGCTTTTAATGCAGGAAGTTATTTGTTTTGTTTTATTGTGTGATTCTGGAAAACTGGATTATCTGGGAATCCAATGTTGACGTTCAAAGCTTCTTGTTCCAATAAAATCGAGACAGTATAAAACGTATTGAGACCGAAACATTTAGATAACAGACAAACTTGTGACATTTCTTCATCTGGTTTTTCGTGCACCGTGTTGAATCTATCGCATTGTATTGATATATAGTCTACAATAAAGGCCTTTAATTAATAAACAATTACAATCTATCTATCTATCTTTCTATCTATCTATCTGTCTGTCTGTCAGTCAGTCTCGCTCTCTCTATATATACAGACAAACAGACAGATAGGCAGGCAGGCAAGCAGACAGACAGACAGATAGATAGATAAATAGATAGATAGATAGATAGATAGATAGAGTAGCTAGCCGTGGTGTAAGCTTAAGCCTATATAAAGGGTAATTCGTTAGGCTTCCTTGTTAAGTTGAATACAGAGGCTAGGGGTTAGAACAAGACCTTTGTCTTTTTTTTTTTTTAATTAAGGGTTTATATTTTCTGTCTATCGATTTTAAATTTAAGCAGGTTTATTTTGTTATAGTGTGGGCTGTATGCCTATTCGTCCCTGCTCAAGGACCACTCTAGACAAGATAAGTCACTGTGATGACAGCTTTAAACCTGCGCTAGTCCCACTGATAACGCGAATACATTATTGTTTGGCATGCCCCCAGTCAGTCGACCTGACACACTCACACACATTGTTTAGCAGGACATTGTTACATATCAATACATGGAGGCTTTCGTTCTCTTCACAAAGCGCGGCTATGACATTTGTATTTTTAACCACAGACCAAACCTCACACCTACAATTCTTTTGTATGACTGGTTATTTGAATCCAATAGTAGAATAGAATGACTATAAAGAGACCAGACGGGACCAATCGTTGTAAAATGCCTGAACACTGACCTGTGACGCTGGGCCGGCCATAGGTAATTGGAGGCCCAAGGCGAAACGAATAGGGAGGCCCAAGGCGAAACGAATAGGGAGGCCCAAGGCGAAACGAATAGGGAGGCCCTAGGCGAAACGAACAGCAATGCCCTAGGCGAAATAGAAAACAAAAAAACTAAGACCGAAAAATACGCAAAGAATGATAAAACGTCCTATATTTATCTCTAAATCAACAAATAAGTTAAATTCATATAGCGCACGTAGCACTAATGTGCCTTAAGAACTATTGACAATGACCAGAAGGACATAACATTTCATCATTTCGCCAAAAGGAAGAAACAATGTTCTAATAACATACGTAGCTCTAAACATTCGCGAATAAACACTAAATTATAACAGAGACTTAAGAGTTAGACTAGTAGACATAGAGCCATAGATTTCTAGGTTTGAGATTTAATCCATGATTCGCAATTTTTCTCACAAAAAATAAAATTAACCGGAGGCCCTAGGTTGCTGCCTAGTTTATCTATGTTAAGGCCGGCCCTGTGTGACGTGTCTAAATTGGCCACAGGTTGTAACGTCGCAGGCCAGTGTTGAGATTTTCTATAACGATGGGTCTCGAACCAGTACTGTTATGTAAAATATTTTTTAGCGATTTATTAAATACAATTACTCCTTCTAGCAGGTCGTTTCTCGGCCCGTAGTCCCGAATCACTATTCTATTCAGTAGTTGACGCCTTTAAGACACGGCCATATGTATCTTTCTTTTTTTTTGGGGGGGGGGGGGGGGGGGGGGGGTTGGAGGTGAGGTAAGGTCTAAAATGTTTGGGACCACTACATGACGATCCTGAGCCTTCCAGATTAGAAGCTTTGCTACGCTGACGAGTTTCTCACGAAAAAACAATGAGAGTGTTTGTTTTTCTCTAACTTTGTTGTGGAAGATGGCACATCACTTGCGCTAGTTATTTGTTTTTGTTTTTTTAAGTCTTGTGTTTTTTTTTTCTGGGCACGTGCTTATGTTTCGTGTACGAAGTTAAGTTTTTAGTCTCGAGGTGAATAGGTTGGCCAAATATTAAAGATAGCAATTTATCAAGGTAGACTAGAGTTATTTCGCTGTCAACAGTATGATTATCGTACAAATTTATCAATGAAAAACAAACATAGCCTACGCATAATGATGCGCACAGTAGGACACCCAACCTTGGCTTCCATATTGAAATACTTAAAACAAATGGAATTTAAAATTGAAACATTATACATCCTTTATTGTTAGCTTTCCATTTTGGAAACATTCTCTACGTTTCCCTCTCCCCTTTTTGTTTGCTTATGGCAATAGAAAGGTAACAAATCCGCATTGATTCTACCAATGTTCACCGGTAAACTAAGTTCACACGTTGATACGTAATAGTTTATTTTGTGTACAGACGTACATTTTATTTTACTTTTTTTCTAAGAAGTTTGGTATTTAAACAAGGGGAAAAAAACATGCGGGGGGCGTTGAGTTTTAAGTTTATTATGTCTAGTTTTGTTAATCTACTAGTGGATGCGCGGGGGTTCTGGGTTCGAATTCTGGTGAAGACTGGGATTTTTTTAAATTTCGGGATCTTTAGGGTGCCTCTGAGTCCACCCATCTCTAATGGGTATCTGACATTAGTTGGGGAAAAGTAAAGGCAGTTTTTCGTTGTGCTGGCCTTATGAACAAGATGACTTCTACATCAAATGGATTAATCGGCAAATGCAATTTTTTTTACCCTCTTTTCTGTTACAGAGTGATGACAAACTTCGACGCCACCTGGCGGAAGCGATCGCCAGATGCTGCAACTGGGGCAACAACAGGATAGCTTTTGGCAGAGAAAGAGCCGTCGCTCCGTTGGTGAAATACTTGAAGTCCAAAGACGAGAACGTTCACAGGTCTACGGCCCGAGCTCTGTTTCAATTATCCAAGAATCCCGAGAACTGTATTACCATGCACGAGGCTGGCGTTGTCAAGGTAACAACATTCAACATCGTTTTGTAAAAAAAATAAAATTACATAGACTTTGCTTTTTAAATACTTTGTGTAGATTCCACTTTTGACCTCAAAGTGCTTCTCGGATGGTGGGTTTAGCGGGATTGTTATTACTGATTTGAAGATATACCTGTACACGGGAAAGCTTTAGGAGTCAACCCTGGGAGAAAATCAGCAGATGGGAAACTTTAGGCAGCTTGCAGTAGGCCTACACAGTGTTACACCTTGAGGGGAAGGGGCTTGCTATATCACACCGCATCAATCTGTTAAAACACAAAAAAAAAAAAAAACAGCAAAAAAAAAAAAATAAACCAACAACAACGGTGTAGTTGATATTTGCCTAAGCAAAGATTTAAGAGACGACATTTTAAAAGGCTTTTTTCCGGCATCTCTCTTCTTCCACGTACAAGGAAAACTATTAGCATGATATTTACGGTTAGGGTTAGGCCCCGCGTATGACACTCGATCAGGGCTGAACGGCCTGGGTGCACCTAAGTTTGAGCCTCTTCTGGTCATGAGTTCGTTCCTTTCAAATTGTAAAAAAATTGGCTTAAAATTGATTAAATGGTAATTGGATAATACAATCGCTAGCAGGATTCTTCCCCTCCCTGGCTCTGTAACCAATAAAATAACATTGTCCAACTTCGCCTCTGTTGTTTTTTTTAAATAGATCTAGTATCTTTATTTTTTAGGTTGATTTTACTTTTTTGTTAATAGACTACCAATTGAAAAGTCGTTTTTGATAAGTAGTTGAAAGTTACTATTGCGTTATTAAGTTCTTAATAACCGTAAGAAACAAAAGCATAAGTCTAAGTGGCTAATACGGGTAGGCCATCTTAAACTACTGGAGTTAATTTAAGTGGATACTTAGATCTGTAAACGAGCACCCAAGCTAAGAAGTGAATAGGCTACTTATGAAAGTAGGCCTGTTGTATAGTTTGTACTTGATCTAATTGTAGCGTATTTTACAACTTAATTATTATTAGTACTTATTACATGTATTTCTTTTCTTTCGTTTCAGCCATTGATCCAAATGGTTGGCTCCAAAGATGAAGACCTGCAAGAATCATCCGCGGGATGTATCGGAAATATCCGAAGGCTGGCTTTGGCCAATGAAAAAGCTCGTTACTCGTAGATCCAAAAGACACTGTTTTTTTTAGTATTTTTCTATAATGAAGAGTTAACAATGTTCCAGTGAAAGAAATATTTAATTTAGTAGACAAATAGCTTTAAAAAAAAGTTGGATAAGAAAGCCAGAAAAAATATAGGACTAACTAGAATCCTTTTACGACTTTTGATTTTTTAAATAATGTAACACACTGATATGCCTATTCAATTTGTGTGTATATTTTAATTTTTAAAAAAAATAGAGTTAACAATTAGTCCAAATTTGTCTTAACTTCGATATATTTTTTAAAGTCAACGTTAGTTTCTTGTTTTCTTTCATAACCATAATAATAATAGTAACAATGATTGCATGGCATTAATGCGTAAACCCATGTCAGGAACAGCATAATAGTAAATGGTGGCTTATTCAACTAGTGGTTTCGTGGGTCACCTTTTGTGAATGAAGCAAGTTATCTTCTTTTGCTGGGAAAATCTTTATGGAATTATTTTAGTCAGTCCCTTCCAATCAACTCCACAATAAATGGCTTCTTACAGGGGGGGGGGGGGTATTAAAAATAATGAATAATATAATGGTCCGAAAGTTATCAAGATGCAGAAGTTTAAACTTATGCTGATTAATTGTACTTTATGTTTAATTAATTAAATAATAAGTATTGTAAACAAAAAAGAACAGTTTTGTTTGGCTTCTACAAAATACAAACTTCGATATATTTATTGGCTATATGCTACTATGTTGATTATAGTGCAACTAGGCCTATATTTAAAAAAAACAACAGCTTTTACAATTATGTAATGTGATACAACACAAATTTTTTACTAAAGTATTTTATTATTTATTTTTTTAAACGATTTTTATGGCGTATCTTTATTTATTACCATTATTTTATATAACTTACATGTGAAAGTCTACAAACAAAACATTTTTTTGGTTTGTTCAAACTGTAAATCCTGTTGGATATATCCTCATTAAAAACAATTTTTTAAAATGAGGTGTTGGTTATTCTTAATAGAGTAGAAGTTTTGTAACTTCTTTGACTTTGCAATTTGTTGTCTCCTAGTCATAGACCTATGTAGTGGCGTTACTAGGGTCGGTGTCACCCGGTGCGGCCCGTACCCTCTAGTGACGCCACTGAGCCTACCTACATTAGTCTCTCATATATCTTTATGTCTCTAGCAACGAAGAACTTGTTTACTTCACACTATAAGCTTCTATATTTAAAAAATAAGCTTATAGTGTGGAAAAAATGGCTACATTTAAAAAGTAATAAGCAGCAGTCGTATCCGGTGTGTTAAAGCTAATACCATATCTTTAACTGAAGTCTTGTTGCACGCTTTGCATACACTTCCTTTAATCTAGTTGTAATATATAGGCGCCTATATTATTCTAAATTATATAGTTGTCTTAAGTTCCTTTGGTCACATCAGCTGCACGGAGAGGGGGGGGAACTGCTGTGTGGACGACATCGTTCCGACCATAAACAATGACCAGGCTTTCATCTCACTTACGGGAGTGTCTCTCCAAAATAGGGCTCCACAGCCACATGAGGAAGTGTGCTCTGAGATGAACCATAGTCGTTCTACGACTGAAGGAGGCCAATGAAGTTTTAAATATTTTCTCCAAATAATGTGAAGAGTTGCGTTCTCTTTTCAGTCCAGCGGTAATGTAATTCTTTATCTCTAAGACACTTCAGCCCATTCCGAACACAAAATCAAGTCCCAAGCAGAGAGCCTTTGCTGTTCAAGAATTGAATCGCTACTTTTAGCACTATTGGACGATTTACTGAGATATTGCTATTAGTTATGGTCATGCACATTTCACAGATTTAGCGCAAGGGTAAAAAAAAACAACCCTATTGTTCTAGTAATCCCCGCGTGTACAGACGGAGTTGAAATAATTGGCGCAATTAATCCAACCAGCAAAATGGCAAGCCTATTATCCATCAACTCTGATCTCATCAAGCCAAAGTCTCTGTAGCAACTAGTATCGTCTAGCTACAGTTAAATTAAGAAAGAGTTGAACAGATGAATAGAACTTCATTTAACTTGGAGAAACGTTTAAAACGAATTCTAGCGCAACGTTCCTCAAGCTGTGGAGCGCCACGCTCCCAGGGACGGGGGAAGGCGTTACATATAAAACTTTGAGAAACACTGCTTTAATATATGTATATGACATCTGAAACCACTGTTACAAAGTATGTTTCAATTTAGTTGCTAGTGCTAAGAGCAAGAGCATTTTGTGTGTGTATACCCATCAGACTTTAGTGTATCACGTGGGGTAGGCGTCAAGGTTGCCATAGAAGTGTGAACAGGAAGTTGTCTACATTCTAGTAGCTTTCAATGTCTACATATAAAAATAAATTAAAGAATGGGAGATAATTCGTTGCCAGTAAGAGAATATTCTTGAACTTTCCGTTTGAAAAACTATATATATAAAAGAAAGCTTATTCTATTGGTCAACAAAATTGAAGCTTCAAGTTCAATTTACGTCTTTGAATATATTATTGAATTTGAATTAAGTTTATTATTGAATTATGTGTATTATTGATATAAAAATAGTGTCTTCACATGCACCTGAAAGATAAAAATATTTTATTTTGTTAAGAAAATTCTGTTATTTCTGTACATTGAAAATAACTTCCAGCATAGAAGTGGATAATGTGTTATCTGATAGAATTTCTGAAAATAGTAAATAATATAATCCCTATGTTGCAACCAAATTACAGTTTTACCACACAAGTTAATTTGTTTTTTTTTTAAAACCTCAATAGCGAAACAATACTCTTACCATATTAACTTAGCCCAAACAAGTCTCTAACCTAGCCAAAAAGCAACCCTATCAGACTTAAATGTCAATTAAATACAGACAGCTCAGGTCCAGACCAGACTGACCACAAGGCAAAGGCTGCACGAAGTTTTCATTTTAACAGAAATTCAAAACTACGGAGCGCATCATTTTCAAAAATATTTATTTTCTTTAAAGTTACTTGGACACAAGAAAATAAATCAACATAGTGAATAATGTGAAAATATTTGACTTCCTGATTTGATAAAACTTGTACAGTTTTTCAAAGTAGAAATTCTGAAGTGTTTGAGTTACTAGCTAGATGAGGAGAAAATGTTGAACAATGAGTACTAGTGCCAGCAACTTCAAATTAGTTTGTCCTTTTGTTGATGGTGAAAGGCAAAGATCACAGACAAAGAATTTCATTTTAAACTTGATATATAAGTAGAATATATATATATATAAATATAGGAATATGTAAATATGTAAGTAAACAATGCTTTGTTTAATAACCATTTTATCCCACAGACAAAAAAAATAAAAAATTGAGCTATATTTGGTTTTTGAAAAAATGTAAAGTCTACTTAATTATTTTTAACTAAAAGTAGATTATAAAAAACAAAATCTTGTTTTTTGTTTTGTTTCAGATCAATGTAAGCATGATCTCTGCCATTTCATGCATGAATGGCCTGGAAAGTTGTACAAGGCTTTCTAGGATAACATCGACTCTAACTGTTGAGAAGTGGGGGAATCTAGAGAGAGATGTACTCTGCCCCCAAAACTTCAGTTCAACAGTGAGAAGCTGTGCGCCCCAGTTGAATACATCAGAATAAATGACAATTAACTTCCAAAGACATTGTACTTTAAAATTCCACCACACCACAAGAAACAATTAAAAAAAAAAAAAAAAAATTAGTGACTTAATAGAAACTCAAAGAATTCTGAAAGTGTAATGCTTCTTTTCTCAAGCTCAGTTTTGGTCATTTGAACTGTTCAGTGACTAGAAAGCAATAACCAGTAGGGGAAAAAAAAGTGAAGAAATAAACTTTTTTTTAAACATAATTCCAAATAAAAGGAACCCAAACTTTTGTTTCTAAATTTAGATTTTGCTTAGGTATCAAATAGAAGAACAAAATCTCTACAACATAAAGGGTAGAATGAGAAGTTTTAATTTGAATTTTATATTTTGTAAAAAAAAAATAATAATCTGTAATGTGTGATATTGATAGAATCATTCACGCACATCTTAACATTCAACAAAATGAGCTCTCCATTCACCAAAATACAACAATACAGCAGAGGACAGAAAAATGACAACAGCAATAAAAGAAGAAAAAAAAAAAAGGGGGGGGGGGGGAGGAGACAAGTGCACACAATAGCTTATGAGGATGTTACATGACAATATGCCGATTACCAACATGTACAACTAAACATAGTTAAAGTAGCCTGGTAAGTAGCTAATAGGCCTATACTACACAGAAATGCTTGAATCTTAGCTTCTTTAATATCCATTATGCTAAGTTGTTTTTTCTTAACCTTCTCTTCAAACAGTTTTTTTTTTTATTTTGTTTTTGTAATTATCAAATATTCAAAAAATTCAAAGTATAAAAATTATCTAACAACAAAAATATCATACAAACTTACATGTTATTGATAAACTTGATCATTCTACATTACAATTAACTTATAATCAGAGCTACTATTTTGAACTTTTTACCCAACATAAAATTAGAATATTTAACAGACAAAAATTTGTCTAATAATTATGCATACAACCATTTTTTTTTTTGGCATTACCATCATAGCAATGGTTTCCTTTGAACAAGGATGTTAATTATTAAAAGTAGAAACAATCATACAAGAACTCAATGCTACAAAAAAAAAAAAAAAAAAAAAAAAGTGATAACTATGGATTAGAACCAGTTGATACAATGACAGCTTAGACTACTTCGTATTCTTTCTTTATGGCTCTGGCTAAGCAGCAGGCAAACAATATTCCAACCACCTGAAAAAGAAAAAAAGCTTTGTAAGCATTGTCACTAACTTACTGCTACAAGAGATACATGGACACCAATGACGTAACAAATTTCAGTTCTTTATTTAATAACAATCTATGTTGTGTTTTTTTTTTGTTCTCTTAGTTTTTAAAAGCTACACATCCATCTCATTTTAAACAAAAAATTAAATTCACACGCAGGGTGTCTTAGCTGTTCAGGAGTCCTCAGAAGCACCACTGGCCTATAGGACGATAGGTCAGCCACTATTATTATATACTGTTATTGATGTCAGTATTAATATTAAAGGAAAATGGTGGGGGTCCCCGGTGTACTCATCCTTCAGCCCCATACCTAGCCTGAGCACTGGTAATAGATTTAACTTAACTATTTGATGTGGGATAACTTACTTGTACAAAAGCCAGACCAATTCCAACACCTCCAATGATTGCTACCTTGTCCTTTAGCCAATCCTCAAATTTACTCACACAACCCTGCAATTCAAAAAGTGACATTAGTAGGTCTTGGAAAAAAGTGGAGAAAAAAAAAAAGGGAAAGCATTCCATTAAAAAAAAAAAAAAAATATATATAGAGAGAGAATGTTGTGAAATGTGTATTTTTAAGTTATCTTTTTAGACCTCAAATATTTTCTATTTGGATTTGATGAAATACCCTCGCATTTTTTAATGGCAACAAGTTTGTTGTACAGCTGATAAATAAAATTTAAACACGTTAATTAAAAAGTAAAGCAGACAACTTTTATTTCTTAAGTCATACGCATCAGAAATTAATTTCTGAGAAAAAGAAACTTGTTTCCAAAATTAGTTCAACACTATTCATTGATAGTATTTTCATTCATGGATCTAGCGTTAGTATTTTACATCTTTAGAAGAGGTATTCTGAATCACAATTACTAATGTCTCTTACAAGTTACACGCATTCCATTTAAAGAGAACATAATTATACCTGTATTTCCATGTGTTAATCTAGTTGTGCATGTTAATTAGAGACTCTGGTAAAAGTAATTGCTGTATGAGTCATCTAACCTGTTGCATGGACTAATG